ATCGTATATTAAAGTGTGATTAATAAATACAATGCACAGATTTTAATTAATTGGATTATAGTTATAGTGAAGTGAATTACACATACTAGTAAATGTTTTCTATTGATAATTTCACTTTCAAATAATATTCATGAGATATGTCTACGTCATAACCTTGTTAAAGGTTATTAGTATATTGTGTACGCAGTGCGCATACTTCGGGCTCTTATTCCGTATTTCACAAACGCATGCTTCATCACAATGAGGTCAATTGAAGTTTAAGTTCCATGCAATGTAACATTCAGCACCGTCAATAAGGTTTGAACGTTGTGTCCATAGTCGAAGCCCACACATAAGTGACGCTACCAGATATGTACAACACCTAACAAACCACACCAATCCAGCGATAGCTGAAGACTTGTTCTCTCTCGCACCATGTCATACGCTGTAATATGCAATTACATTTTAATATATTTCTGCTTGCAAAATTTATCTCGGAATCAAGCTGTTCAATTAGTACTGCATTTAGCAGTGTGTGGATTTGATTCTTGCCAAATCTATACACTGACACAATCTGTCTCAGTCGTCAAATTTCATAATCTAGTCACACACAGTGCCCAATGTCTTTATGTACTGTGTAGTAGATTTATAGCGTACAAGACAATGACAAAGCACTTTTGTAGTGGCAATCAATTTTGTTCAACAACACCTTCAAACTGAATGCTGTAAAGCGTTTCACAGCTAGAAATGTTTGCGAGTTCAGGTTTTTATAGCATTCGTGAAGAAAAAATTTCACAAAAATCACTTACTCTTCATGTCGTAGTACACAAAGGAAATTTTCTTCGCTGCAAATTTTGGCGAATTTTCATGTAACTCGCAAGAAGCAAATCAGTTTATAGTATACATGTATAAGAAGGCGTGCCATCAATTCCTGACCTGTATTCAGACCACTGACCCCTTTGCTTTGACTAATTATGCTCCGCCAAATCTGTTTTAGTTACATAGATTGAAAAATTTCTAAAAGTCTATTACGTGTTCGTTTTAACAAACACAGTACATAATTTATGCATTCTTATTGTCATGCACACCGTGCTCAGCTCGCTTCAGTAGTACATTGCTGCAGGCAACCTATCCCTAAAAATAACCTGACTTATTAGGGTTTCGAGCCCTATGGGGCGAAACCCTTTTGTAATTGCTATGTTTATTATTAGGCTTTCAAGTCCCTTCAGGCTTGAAAGCCTATTGTTTTTGTTAAGTTTATTATTATTATTAGGCTTTCAAGTCCCTTCAGGCTTGAAAGCCTATTGTTTTTGTTATGTTTATTATTAGGGTTTCGAGCCCTATGGGTCGGAAACCCTTTTGTAATTGCTATGTTTATTATTAGGGTTTCGAGCCCATTTGGTCGAAACCCTTTTGTAATTGTTCCGTTTATTATTATTATTATTATTATTATTAGGCTTTCAAGTCCCTTCAGGCTTGAAAGCCTATTGTTTTTGTTATGTTTATTATTATTATTATTATTATTATTATTATTATTCTTCCGCCAACTTCAAACGACTTCTTCTCTGAAACGGCTGGACCGTTTTGCCTGAAAATTTGTATATACCTTCTACATGTCATGCCATTAAAAGTGACTGAAACAGATTTTCGATTAGTCACGTGGTTCGGCCGCCATCTTGAAACTCATTAAATATGCATGTCTCTTGTATCTCAAAAACTATTGCATGTACAAACATGGAACTAACG